CATTTCACTTTTGCCGTAAAGTCTGATCACCAAATACGTATTGGGGAGCATTTCCCCATCATTCCCCGCTCGGGGTCGGCACTCTGAGGAGGACCTCGTCAGAGAGCCGGCTCTACAGGGAGGACCTCCTCTGAGCGCCGACCCTGTGCAGGGCCTGCGCTCCAAGGAGGATGTCCTCAGAGAGCCGGCTCTGCGGGGAGGACCTCCTCGGAGCGTCGACCCTGCGTGGGGCCTCGCTCCAAGGAGGACCTCGCCAGAGAGCCGGCTCTGCGGGGAGGACCTCCTCGGAGCGCAGACCCTGCGAGGGACCTCGCTCCAAGGAAGACCTCCTCAGAGAGCCGGCTCTGCAGGGAGGACCTCCTCGGAGTGCAGACCCTGCGTGGGGCCTGTGCTCCAAGGAGACCTCGCCAGAGAGCCAGCTCTGTGGGGAGGACCTCCTCGGAGTGTGGACCCTGCGTGGGGCCTCACTCCAAGGAGGACATCCTCGAACAGCCGGCTCTGTGGGGAGGACCTCCTCGGAGCACAGACCCTGTGTGGGGCCTCGCTCCAAGGAGGATGTCCTCAGAGAGCTGGCTCTATGGGGAGGATCTCCTCGGAGTGCGGACCCTGCGCGGGGTCTCGCTCCAAGGAGACCTCATCAGAGAGCCGGCTTGGGAAGGGGTGACAGCCGCGGCAAGTGACAGCCGTGGCTGTATTGCGTATGTTCAAGAACATCATTGCTTGGTTATGTGCGGGATTTTCTCACTTGTGTGTGAACGGCAAATACGGTTCCCAGGAGCGCTTTCCTTAAAAGCGCAATGAAGGTAATGGCGTGTGATAGCCATTTGTGTATTGTGGGGTTTCTTTTGGTTTGTTACTGGATTTATTCTTATTTCACTTTATTATCACTTTGTGGGCCGCGTGTGATAAGGTCCATAGCCACCCTCTCCATTCTTAATCTTCTTCTGATTTTCTGACTGCAGCTCCCACTTCTATCAATGTTTGATCCCATGTATGGGAATTCTTTTACTATTTCTATTTCTTCATTGTCTAGGTTAAACTTGTGAAGGTCCTTGGTGGTCATTATTTTTAGTTTCTTTATGTTCAACATTCAGCCTGTCTTTGCATTTTCTTCTTTGATCTTCCTTAGTAGGTGTTCCA